CCAGCATCCATGAAACATATTCACAGATACAGCCATTCATCACTTAACAACAGAGATATATTCTGAGAAATGCATTGCTAGGTGATTCTGTCATTGTGCAAACATCCTAGATGGTGCTCACACAAATCTAGATTGGATAGCCTGCGACATACCTAGGCTGCATGGTACAGTCTATTGCTCCAAAGCTAACCTGTATAGCATGTTACCCTACGGAATATCATAGGCAATTGTAACACAATGGTAGGCATGTGTGCATCTAAACCTATCTGAACGTAGAAAAGGTATAGTAAAAATATGGCTTTATAATCTTATAGGACCCCATTGGATATGCAATGCGTGACTATGTTTTAGCTGAAAGCATCAGTCTGCTTGTTTTAGAGAGAAGCAGAGCCACACCCCCAGTCTTTCTACCATGTATTTAGATCTCAGAGATTAGGAATCAAAAACATGAGCAATGCAAGCAAAAATGCAGATGATAAGATTTGTGTGAGGCAATACAAGATGGAAGGCTTTTATATGGAGGAATTCAGTTTAAGCAATCAAAGAAAGAGATGTGCAGAAACCTCTAGTGTATGAGCTCCAAGTATTTTGGTCAACACAGTGTGTGGATTAGCAGAAAAAGCTGAAACAGAACCTGGAGCTACAAAGGAACAGAGGAATCTGGGGAGAGATGCTAATCAAGCCATTAGGAATGCAGGATTTACCAACACCCAATTGAGAAAAGGCTGTTAACGTTGCCGTTTTATCTGCATGATATTTATAATTGCTGTAAATATGTGTAATCTTGAATGCCCACATGCCACTCCGGTTCGCTGGCAAAATTAGTCTCAGCAAAAAATTGTACTGAACTTTAGCCCCTGAAAGTCCTCACCAGCATAATTACTATGTCAACCCCTCTCCCTCCTCACGTCTTCAGTTGGTTTTAGGAATTCTCAAGCACATTAATGGTCTTACTTTTGGACTCATCATTTAAGTTGCAACCCACGGGTTTTGTGAGGTAGTCACCTCGCCTCTACCACTGCTGTTATTCTAGAAAATGACCTCTGTTTCCTTATCACTCCAGCAGGCACAGCCAGCACCTCCACCTCTGAAAATTTCTAGGGCCCTCTGGTTGCAACTACTGCATTCTGCACAGAAAGAGAAAGAATGCCCTTCTCCCAAACTCTGTGCGATGTTGTCATCTGGGTCTTAATGCAGTACTGTGGGTGCTGTGAGTCACCAAGTTCTCTTGTTAAACAGTCCCTGTTTCTCAGGAGTCAAACAGAAATGGCCCTGCCACCGTATCCCCAGGCATCATCTCTTTCTGCTCAACACTCAGATCTCCTTCAGCCCTCACCCTTATCCCAAAATGCCCCCTTTTAGCTGAAGTAAATCAAGCCAGAAAAAGCTATCAAGCACAGCAATGAAAATCCATGACAAGGAATGATGGGCACTGGCCTGGCATATCTGGTGGCTTACTCAATTGTTGTTATATTGCAGTGCTATAAAGAAATTGCCCTCAAAAAGATGACACCTATTGGGTATCAGTCCTAGGAAGTCAAAGTCCACATCTGTCACAAAGCATAAGGCAATCATTTGCTTCTGGAAGTTTCTCTGGGCTCTTACCACAGGACAAAAGCTTTCAGAGGGGAATAGGAGGTATTGCCTTTTACTCACTGCCAAGGTGGAGGGTGGGCTAAGGATGGACAGTTGCTGATTCAGATGAGCCTGGAAAGCATCCAATGGGAGGGCTCCAGGAAGCTGGCTCCTTTCATTTGCCCATATCCGATAAAATCTTAAGTTTCCCATGTGAACTAAGCAGACCAGGGAAGAGCAGGAGTTCTGGAGACCAAGAGTCCTGTAGGCAAATGTTGGCCTGCCATTCATTAACTGGGTGATATTGGCTAATTTACTTAATAAGCCTATTCAAGCTTTGGTTTCTTCATCTACACAATGGAGGGAAAATAATAACTGCAGTTGTCATTGAAGACTCAGTGAAATCATGCCAATCAAGGGTTTGTCTCAGAGACAGGAAGTGCTCAAGAGCTGTTGGCTACCATTACCAGTACAGTAGACTTAAACACAGGCAAGTCTGCAGCTGCCTAACATACATATTAAGTCTCCTTTAGAGAATTCATTCCCTAACAGTTGCCTTTAAATGGAAGTTAGATCAGACTCTAAATATTGTCACCTACAAAGAGGGAAGGATAGATGCTGCAGGCATGGCCCCACGTTGCTGGGGGTTTTGACAGAAAAAAAGCCTTTAGGAGCTTGACCTGGACTACAGCTGGATCAACTGATAGGGAAGAAATTAAAGAGGGACACAGAAATGCACTGTGGCTGTCTTCCAAATGGTGTTTCATAAAATTTGACTTCACATGAAATCAAGAGGAAAAAATCTGGTTCTATTTGGAAGGCATAGGCAGGTCTGACTTTAAGTCAAGAAATGCAATAGAATCACATTCTCGAGAGGGAAGCTGTTGAGCATGGCGCTCACGATGGAGCATACAGTGGCAGGTGGCTCTGTGGCAGTGTGCCTGGAGGGAAAAACCAATCCACTGACACTACAGGAACTCTCTGAGATACAACTTATGGGCCTGATGGGGCCCACTTCATCCCCTGAAGATAATTACGGAGACATGAGCAGGGATGCAGAACACACACAGACACAGATTCTACAGTTTCATTGAGTGTCCTGAAGGAGCAGCCCTGTGAAATACGTCTTGTACTCCTAAAGGCACTGCATGCATTATGCAGGTGCTCCCAGCTGCCCAGGAACACCAAAGTCTGCCTGGTTACTCATCAGCTCAACTGAACTTTATGCACTGACACACTAGCACCTGCAGAAACTGGATTCCTTGTGTGGGTGAAAAGTGGGTCACAGAGAGAAGCTGCACAAAGCCTTTTTCTGAGAGTTACAGGGCAAACCGAATAGAGCTGAATTAAAATCATGTGTGACTGTCTCCATTCCACAGATTATCATCTACATCTATAACCAGAGATCCAATGATGAAAAATAATATAGCCAGATAAAATTATGGGGAATATTTTGAAAACCATGAATGTGAATTTTTCATTTGACTTTCTACGTTCATGATCTCTACCCAACTTGGCCCAAGGCAACCATCTGCATGGAAAACTGGGATTTGTTCCAGAAAGAATGAGTAGGCAAAGACTGAGATTATACTTAGCTTCTGACACTGAAAACAGGAACTTTTAGCAACATGGCTTCTTACTAATACTCTAAGTTTCTTTATTGTCTCTGCTGAAGGATTCTACGCATTTTCTTACTCCGCTGTGTGTGTGTGTGTGTGTGCGCGTGTGCGTGTGCGTGTGCGTGTGTGTGTGTGTGTGTCTTTCTAGATAAGTTCTGGCTAGAGGAGCAAGTCAATATGACATGCAGGGTTGGGATCAACTAAAAGCGTTATATACTAGAGGGATATGGGAATACAGGGGATAAAAACCAGAGAGAAGAAAGGGAGGAGGGAAGGCCATGACATGAGTGACCGGATTTGTTCCTCTCTAAGCTTTGTCTAAAGGGGGTGTGCATATTAGGTAATTGACATTTGGGGATTCAGGTCAGTTGGGGGCTTCTGGAATTACAGAAGAATACCGAATTGTAGTTGTTCTGTAACCACCTTATTCATATCCTTATTCTAATCAACCTGGTTGATTGGCAAAGTCAGGCCTGTGTTTTAGCTTTACTGGGTCATCTAGGCTTTCAAGTAATGTAGACAGGACCCAAGGACACCTGAGAATCTGGCTGGGGCCATGTTTGAGAGCTGTGTTGTCACTGCAGGGAGGCAGCTCTGCATCCAGGACACAATCCAGACAAACAGCAACTGGGGGTTGCCCTCAGGACTTGGAGGGCTTCATCCCAACCGAAGGAGAGGAGTTGCAAACAAAGTAACCTGCGATGCATCTCAGGCACTGACCAAAGCAAGGGAGGAGACGTGGCAGCTGGAATGCAGCTATGGAACCACAAGGGACAAGGGACAGCACTCCAGAAGCCAAGGAACCCCAGGAGAGCACGTGTGAGGATGCTGGTTTTGCTTTTGTCGTGAGATCTTGTAAGTCTCACCATTCCTGACACCAAGTTGACTTCTTGAAATGAGTCCAGGCGCTAAGCAGAAGACGGACAAATAAGCAATCAGATAAACAATGTCTGTTTTTTTCCTAAAAGACTGGGGCGAACATCTTTTCTAAATTGCAAATCAAATTACATTTTAACTCAAGTATGAATGTCAGTTGTGTATTGTTTCAGCTTGTTTGTTTGCTCCCAGGTAAACAGTAGCAGGAAACCAGATTCATTATAGCAAACATAACAGGGCTACATACACTCTGTTCATTTCAGCTAAAGTGAAAGTGGAATTTGCCATCCGCCTTTGTAATTATGTCAATGAGAGCTAGGAAAGGATAGATGGTCAAATAGAAGTACTGGGTATTTGTGCCTTGCCAAAATGAACTCCCTGAATGAAGAGATTTATTACAATAATAAGAATTGACAGCCAGGAAAGGTGGCTCGTGCCTGTAATCCCAGCACTTCGGGAGACCGAGGTGGGTGGATCAATTGTGCTTAGGAGTTTGAGACCAGCCTGGGCAAAATGGTGAAACCCAGTCTCTACTAAAAAGACAAAAGTCAGCTGGGCATGGTGGCATGCACCTGTAATCCCAGCTACTCAGGAGGCTGACACAGGAGAATCACTTGAACCTGGGAGGTAGAGGCTGCAGTGAGCTGAGATCATGCATATGCACTGCAGCCTGGGTGACAGAGTGAGATTCTGTCTAAAGAACAGAAAGAAAGAAAGAAAGACAGAAAGAGAGAGGGAGGGAGGGAGGGAAAGAAAGAAAGAGAGAGAGAGAGAGAGAGAAAGAAAGAAAGAAAGAAAGAAAGAAAGAAAGAAAGAAAGA